TTAAATTTAAAATAAATTAATTACTTTCAAAAAAGATTAGTTTAAAGCCTAGCATATTCAAAGACCAAGTACTCATATTACTGACTTTGTAGAAGCATATAATAGGCTACTCCAAGAGTTCAAGACTATAAGTGATCAGTTAATTAAAATTTCCATGTCTATGGTTATCACTAATTTTAGATGGAAACAACCAAGCAAATATTGTTTCATAGCAATTGGCAGACTTTAATATTCAAGAAAAATTAAGTCCATCATACACATTAAAAATATAGGAAATTTCATGCAGACATGAAGCTTCCACTTCAGCCTTTGCGGCAACTTTTAGAATGAGAATTACATATAAATACAGTACATTTTACAGTCCCCAAACTTCATAATTTTATACTGTGATTTATACAGCTTCTCTTTATATTTTACATATCCCATCCTACTCACTTGATTAAAACATTCCCTAGCCTACACTGCTTCAGATTATGGAAAGTAAAAAAAAAAGCAAGCACAATGACCTAACTCCCTCTACTTTATGAAAATGAATGAAAACATTTCTGTATAGAGTTATTTAAGAAAAAAAAATTAAACTTTAAGGCTTGCACACTTTAGTAGCTAGGACTACACGTTAAGAAATACAAAATTAAATCCTCCAGTGACACCTCTATTATTGATTGATACCACAATTTTCAAGTTTAGAATATATTAACTACAAAAGTTATAAGAGAAAAAAAGTGGTGCAAATTTGTGTAGTATATTTAAAAAACAGTATTCATGATATGAGGGGGAAATTAGAAACAAATAAAACAAATGATTTCAGAAAACTAAAATATAAGCTGTAATTTAGAAACATAAGTAGCATTAAAGAATAAAACTTGATAGCAAAAGTTTTAAGTAATAAAGCCAACCGATTGGTGTCAAGGTGTTTTTTCCTCAATGAGAAAACCAAGATCATCTGTTTTGATACAAGTTGTAAAAAAGTGAATACTTATTAGTGAATAAAAAGCATTTCTAAATTACAAACAGCATGCATTCCTTTCCTTTCAATGGATTTTTTAAATACTTACGCTCCTTTTAAGATTTTCTTCCTTAAAAAAAATAAATAAACTTGGGGTCTTTTTTACCCTTGCATTAATTTCAAGTTCATTCATGTGTTAGGTAATGAGAATTCCCACTAAATGAACATCTGCTAAGTACTGAGGGACCCAAAAAAGAGAAGTAGTTTTTCAGAAACACTCAGCAGGTTACAGGTGTCCATAATTTGACAAATCAAATTAAATTCATGGAATCCTTTACTGCATCATGGACATAAAGGCCACAGGAGCTGCCGTAGTGTATGCAGAAAAAGTCCTACTAGTAAGATGCCAGATAGTGTAGTGACTGACAATAAAGGTCTAAAGATCGTAAGTAAGATTTCCTATGAAAACATGACAGTTATACTATAGCACATTATTGAAATTAAGCCTATCTAATCCAAACTGCCACAGAGGTCACTTAATGTCATCACAATCATCTGTGAAAATATTCAATAGTACTTTCTTTTCTCCAAGAAAAGGTTAAAATGTTAAATTAGTCATCTCCACTTTTTAAGCTACTGGAAAACAGGATAATAAACATAAAACAATACAAAGGAAAACTCCCTCCAATAAAGACCTGCTAGAGGTAGAAATGCAAAGCAGCATATACGGTTTCAGCTACAGATATCAAGGGAACAAAACTGGTGTTAAAGTGAAATTATGTTGATGGCTGCTGCTTACAATATTGAAGACAGAGACGATGGGCAGTATTTTATCCCTAAATTTCATAATCAAAATCTCCCCACATAAATACCATCATGACAGTTTTTACTAGTATGTAATAGTTTTAACGGGAAAAAAAAAGTGCTTGCTTTTGTAATCCAGGTTAAAAAAGACATTATTGTAAACATATCACTGACAAACTCTGTACTCGCTTATAGTTTACAATCATACATCATTTCAAATGGGCAGATTTTGCTCTGATTTCCCCAGTCTCCTAGCAGTATCTTTAATAAAGGCTTTTGTGCCTCACTTAGAATGTTGAGATCTCTCACATTTCAGAGTGATCCATGATGAGTATGCTCTCAAAGAGGGTTCAGTTTAGTGTGGCCAGACTTAACTAATTTCTCAGCTATTTAAAATGCATTTTACTGGCCTGTGATCCTATAAATTTAGCATCTCATAGAAATGAAACGTTTGATGCTAACTATAAGTTCAGCTGAGTTGGAAAAAAAATACCTTGAACGATAAAATAGACATACATTTTATGTACAGACTGCGTAGGTCCAAAGTAAACAGAAGTCCCAATTCCAGATGCTGAAAGTGACAGAGGATCCTTAGACTCTTCTAAAAATAACATGTACAATGCATACAAAACAACAACAAAGGGGATTACTAGGGACTTCAATACTATTAGTCATCCATATGGCAGACTTGCTAAGGACAGCTTCATGAATACACTGGAGATAGTTTTTTCTACTGAAAGACAATTCTGGGCTTCAAGGAAAAAGTATGCTTGAAGACATTTCCTCCATTTTAACTTGTGTAGTACAAATATGCATGGCATAATATATTTCTGAAAAAGAGATAGACATATTAAGAAAATAGACACTATTTCTAAATTTTGTTAGGAATAAGAAGGCACCACTGATTTGAGGTTGTGTCCTGTCATTGGGATAGTTGATTCTGAGTTGTTTATTCCAGCATTTGCTCTTATCAAACTTTCTTCCTGGTGATATCACTTGAGACCGTTATTGTGGTTTACGGACCACAAACAGGACACATTCATAGTAGTATTTCATCATGGAGAGATCATTCACAGTGTATGTTGACAAGACAGACTCTTTCTCCACCTGAAAGGTAAACAATAATCATAATGGTGATGATGACGACCACGGCATATTTAAACATATTCTGTATATTAATTAATTTATTACATGTAAGCATCCCCTTAAGACTGGCACTGAACAACAGGTCTCTCAAGGTCACACCACTAATAATCTGTGGAACTGGGATTCACACTCAGGCAGTCTAACTCCAGAGCTTGAACTCTCAACTATTATAATATACTGCTTCTCTTGAAGAACAGACTTGTTTATTTTTTAAATGAATGGAATGCCTCTAAAGAAACATATGACTAAGAAACAGTAGTCAAAACCATCATGAAACCTTATAATCACATGATTAGGAAAGACTGAACACTACAAAAGTACATATGGTGAATAATATCCCTCTTACACCTGCCCTCCCACCCTGTCTGCTTGGTATCTATCAGTCTACAAGGGCCAATGCTATGATAATGGTCAGCTACCATTTACTGAAAAGTGATTACACCAGAGATCATAATTTTCCATTCACATACATGTTATCTCAAATCCCTATAATCTGAAAAGCTAAGTAGTAGTATTTTCACTTTTTGGATGAGAAAACAGAGAGGTTAAGAGGTAAAGCCAGTAACTGTCATAATATCGCCATTCCTGTTTAAGTGCTCTGTAAGTTAAACTTTGACAGTACTTCATTCCATCCTTACCTCTACCTGGAATCCATATTGCAGAACAACATTTTTTATATCCTCATAGCTCAATTCTATGGAAAGTTCATTTGCCAAATTTTCAAAGTGGTACAGCAGAGGACCTATGATTTAAAGATATGGTGAATGAATTACTTATATATAAACATGCATTAGTAGCTGTTTAGACTGAACTCCAAGTTGAATAATAAGTTGGCTAGTGGATGAAACATAAAAGGAGAAGTAAAAAATCTTTACATTTGCCAAGGACATGTGTCCAGACCCCTGAAACGCTGGCCCAGTAACTGACATTTGAGTGCTGGGCCAACATTCATGGGGAGTGAGTCCCTCTGGTATTCCAGCCTCGCCCTGTGATTCTCCACATCACAGGCCTTACACTTGTAACTCAAGTTCCTGAAGGACAAGCTGAATCAGAGACTAAGTCCCCAGATTCCAAGAGTATACTGTAATTATAATTCCGTAACTAAATGCAAAACTGCAGCTACAAAGTGAGTGTCATGTGAAAACAGAGAAGGGTCCTCAAGCTGGGTAGCCTGGGTAAGAGAAAGTGTGGGGGTCACGGGGTAGAAGAGATAATAGGCATGGCTTCCTGGAAGAAGGAGGTGACACTAGAGCTAGCTTTTTAAGTGCATAGTTCATATTCCAGCTGTAACACCAACTAAATGTGTTGACTATGAACAAGTCACTAACTCTGCCCCATGTGTAACATGACTTTAATGTGAGATAACATATCTGGCATATAAAAGGCACTAAGTAAATCACAGCTATTACAACTTTAAAAATTGACATCCTCCTTTACTAGCCTCTCACTCCAGATGTCCAAGGAACTATCATCTAACGCAAGCCAGATTTTCCAACCTTTTGATCTCATATTTTGCCCAATCCATCAGCTTCATCCGGGCAACACTATCACTCCGCAGTTATACAAAGAGACTAATGTAGACAATCTTCTCTTTACCTTTAACTGGCTTAATTATACATCCTGACACCAACTCATCACTCTCACCCTCTCCCCACTCCTCACACAATGTGCTAATCACAAGAGAGAAAAGCAACAACAGGACAAAGTTTCTGCTTCCAAACTGCTCATCACTCTGTAGAACATGCTATTTAGGGTTAAAAAGTTTTTCTTCTCCTCTCTTTTTTACTGTATATAAATCATTAAAAAATAAAAATAAATGTAATTTATTTATTAGTGCTCTCTTCAAAAGATAACAATGATTCCCCACCAACTACTTTACTCTATCAAGCTTAAATTCCTGTTTGTTTTATTAGTACTAGTAAAAATGAAAGTAGCTACCATTTACTGAACACCTACTGTATCCAAGACCATCCGAAAGCTTTTGAAGCCTTTGTTCTTTTTAAAGAATGCAGAGCCTCACAGCAGTCTTTCCAGCTCTAAAGTGTATGCTGTTCCTGCTCCATTAAGCGCCTCCAAAATATTGTTTCATTATACCTACATAAACAGATTCCAATGATTCTTACACCCTCAGGCCGTATTTTACCTCTACTCATGTTGTATTCCATTATAAGCTCCATGAATAAAGGAATATATCCTAAGTTTCTTTTGAATCTACCACAATGTACACCATAGCA